TAGGATGCCCGGGACACGACTCGCATGTCGAGCAGCCACCCTGGGACCTTCCATGCCTGGATTTTGCCTGGATTTTGCCTTGGTGGTTTTTAAAGAAAACTCTGTGTGTGCAATGGATGCATCTGGGTTTCAGAGGCAGTTTGACATCCCAAATCTGCGCCGCTTTGGGAAACGGTGCTGATGCATTGTGTGATTCCTGGGAACAGAGAGCATCCCCTGGGACACCGCACCTCACTCTGCCCCTTGCTCTCACCTGGGGCCGTGGTGGCCGGTACCCAGAAGAACCCAGCATGGGAGAGACGAGGAGATGTGAAACAGGGGTGAGGAATTCCAGAGGTGGAATTAGCTTGGAGATGTGGGATTGATGCTCTCTGGGGGTCCCATGGCTCTGCTGTAACAGCTGCAGGGAAGGGAAGCAGCAGCAGTGCCTTTAGACTGTAAGCAGGGTGCGGATCAGGCATGGCCTTGCTCTGGTGCTGCTTTGGTGGGTTTGAGAGGGTCAAGGTGAAATCCTTTGGGTCCCCACATGCTGACAGCCCCCAGACCCAGGTCTGGCCATGGGGATCATGCCCATAGCGATCCGCTGCCTCCTGAGCTGGTGGCCACCATCAGTAAGATGGGGAATTACTGGTGTTAGTGATAATCCCGCTCTAATCTCCCAACCTTGATACACTCCCACGTAATCCTCACTCACACTGATTTCGCTGGGGCTCCTCGTGGCAGTGGGGATTATTTGAGCAAGCAACAGTTGCAGGATAAGGCCCTGTTGGTTTCAGATATGCTTTTTACTACCTGGAAAGCATTCTCCTCACTATAGGAAATGGGTTTTGAAGCACAATAGAGCAATTTTCGTTGCAGGCAGCAGCGGCAGTTTCTGCTCTGGCTATCTCGTGGTGTTAACTAAAGCACATTTCTACAGCACACAAAGATTTTTGTTTTGTGAGGGATGAAATCAGCGTGGCTGTTCCTCTTTCTCTGTCATTTCTCTACTTGTCAATTCTTTCTTCCCCTCCAGCTTATCCTCCTTTTCTCCGCTAGCCTTAAAAAGCCCCCAAAGTGTCTGTTGTAATCACATTTGGTGTGTTACAACCAGAATGAATGTACTCACTTTAATATGCTGGGTTTTGAGGAAATCAGTTTCTGTCTGGTATAACAGACAATTTGTTATAAACCATGCCGTTTAGAAGTGAAGGGCCTTGCTTTAGTGTAACGCTGGGGAGACGTCATGATACATAATTGGAAGGGATTT